TGGAGCTGGCCAGCCGCAGCCCGTCCGGGGGCGTGGCGGGCCCGCTGCTCACGCCGTCCCAGTCGTTGGACGGCAGCCGGCGCTCGGGCTACATCACCATCGGCTACCGCGGCTCCTACACCATCGGGCGGGACGCGCAGGCGGACGCCAAGTTCCGGCGGGTGGCGCGCATCACGGTGTGCGGCAAGACGTCGCTGGCCAAAGAGGTGTTCGGGGACACCCTGAACGAGAGCCGGGACCCCGACCGGCCCCCGGAACGCTACACCTCGCGCTATTACCTCAAGTTCAACTTCCTGGAGCAGGCCTTCGACAAGCTGTCTGAGTCGGGCTTCCACATGGTGGCGTGCAGCTCCACGGGCACCTGCGCCTTTGCCAGCGGCACCGACCAGAGCGAGGACAAGATCTGGACCAGCTACACCGAGTACGTCTTCTGCAGGGAGTGAGCTCCCCAGACCCCCTCGCGACTCCAGCGCCCAGTCCCCCTCCGTCCTGTCCGGGAGATGGTTATAGATCCCCCCACATACCCTGCCCTCTGTCCCCGGGCCACCCCCCCGCCTCCCTCCCCCCCAGTAGCCCACCCTACTTCAGAACCTGCAGCCGCAGATCCTCTCGGCTTTTCCGTCTTCTTTGGACCCGACTAACCGAGAGCGCCCAGACGTACCCCCACCCCTCACTACCTGGATTCCCTGCCTCAAACCGCCCCTCCCCAGATCGCACTTCAGGCTGGATCTAGGCGGGCAGTGTGGCCACAGAGTCACCAAGTACTTGGGAATGATTGAATTGTTCAGAACCTGATTGGACCGTGTCCAGTGTGTAGAAGATTCCTTGAAATCTTCTCGAGCCCTTATGACTCATTCGCGGTTTAAGAGATCAGGACTGATAACACTGTCTGGGGACAGTGTTTTGAAAGGTCATTACACAATCTTTTTGACCCTCTTTAAAGGCAGAGTTTCAGAAGGCTGAATGGAAGCCTCTGATCCTGGAATTAGGACCGCATGGAGGCAGTTCAGTGACTGAATGAGTAAAGTTTTGAGAAGTTACAGGTAGAAGCAGAATCTAGTGCTGGCACAGTGAAGGATCGTATCTTTTCCATACAGATAAAAGATCTTCGCCTGTGACTTATACTTGTAGAAAGTGATCCTCCTGCCTGCGGAGGCGCTCTTTCTCCTCGGCTCATCGCCAGAAGCTTCTGGTTCAACTGGGTGACATGGCAGCTGTTACTGGCAAGAGGGAGAAAGGGCACCGCCTCCCGGAGGGCGACGCTGCCCTGGTCTCCAAGCGCTGCGGGAAGTCACTTGGCAGTGACTGTAACGGAGCTGGGCAGGGATGCACGCCGTGGGTGTCAGGAAAGCCCGTATTCTTGTGGTGAATGGCAGTAGGACCTTCCTTAGCTTAAGACTTGGGGGGTGGGCTAGGGAGGGAGGAAAGAGGGTAGAAGGGTGGGAAGGGAGGAGCAGACATACTCATGTATTATACGAAGGTTGGAAGTTCGTGCCATCCGTTTGAGTACATGCACCTTTAAAAATATAAAATAGTAAATGCAAACATGCAAGGCATTTTATAAAGATTTAACAACAGACCTACTCTTACCTGGCAGTTTATTGAACTAACGGTTTTGAGTCCTAAACTTAGAGGTTGTTAACACTTATGTAATCTGACCAAAGAGTTACCCAGTAGGGTTTTAGTTTTTGAACTTTCATTTTCTTGTTGATTATAAATCCTAATTTTAAAATCTATTTACTTGAGCAAAATAAGTTTGATTTTCGTTACTTAGACTTAAGCTCTCTTATTGAAAATCTTTATTTTCTCCACACCCAGCAAGTGTTGACTGCTGGGCCAACTTGAAAACCTTCTGAAAATGCCACTTTCATGCAATTTGTTTGAAGTTAAGGTGGAATAAATAAATCACCAAGGGCTGCCCATCTGTGGATAGCTATAAAATGGAGTATTTTTAAATGAAGGCAGATAAGTACTTAACAGTGAGCTGAGCAATAAAATGGTGTTTTAGGTAAATGCAACAGAAACAGGAAGAGACCTGGTTGCCTTATGCCTTTATCTTCATGTGGAAGAAATTCCCAATGCATATCCTGTGTACACTGTAAGTGAAGGGAAATGAATCCTTGTCATGCTTCATGCTGTGAGGTGTCCTTTGGATATTCCGTGATGATGGAGAAGCCTTTCTATTTTTTTGTTTGTTCCAGCATCTTTCTCTGAAGTGTGTTTTTAAAGATTTTGTACGACCCGTTTTCAGTGTTTAAATTAGTGCTATTTTTCTTTCTTTTTAAAAATGAATCTTGTACTGTATCTTACTATATCCATAACATGTTACAAATTGGAACAGTTTTATTCTTAGACTCATGTGATCCAATCTGTATATACCATATATGAACATTTTACACGAATCATTTAGTTTTTTAATTCATTTACTAATACTATATACATTTCCTATATTTACTCCCAATAACTTGTATCAGATGGTGTATATACTAAAGCTACGTTTTGATGAGTTTCTTATATCCTTGACTATGGGGAAATTGGGTTACAAAAAATACATAATTGTAAAACTGAGTTTGCTCCATACCTTTTCACTTGGATATTAGTTGTATGCTTATCATATACTGATTAACTGTCTACTTAAAATCAAGGTACCTGTATTTTTAATCCACTAATTCTTTTTATTTTAAAATTGGGGACAAGAAAGATTTGAGGTCTTTTATTAGAGTTACATTTTTAGAAAAGTAAAGTTGCCTTTATATGCAAAGGCTGTATCTGGAAGCTAAATGGAAGCAGGATCCAGGAAGTCGTGTTTGCTTGTTTGTTGAGTTTGTTCTCAGACTAGGTAACGCATCAGAACTTACTGGAATCATGTAGGACTGTCTCTCACTGGCTGAAAATGAGTGTCATAGAGATTTCTCCACCCTGTATGGCATTCTATTAGATTGCTCAGCAAAAAGCACATGACTGAGAACATCTTAGGACAGATCAGAACCACTAACAGATAGCAAGACTCAGCCCCAGGAGTCAGAGTCATGAGAAGCTGCTAAAGTTTGTCTCTGCCACTCAAGTCTTATGAATTTTATCTTGTGAAACTTTGAGTTGAACTATTCCACTGTCTTGTGCATAGACATCTTACTTATTCTTACCCTGCCCCCTGCCAAACCCTTGCTGCCTGCCCTGAACCCCCTTCATTATTTGAAAGACTGGGAGTTTAATGGTTATGGACAGTAAACCAACCTCTTTTTCTAGGGATTAATGTTCCCTCTAAACTTGAAGTGGCTACATGAAAACTTTTTCTACTTTTAGCCCAGAATGAAAGCTAGATAGGGAACTCATTTTACATTGAGTAAATAGTATAACTGAGGTAAGATGACTTGGCATGAGCACCTTTGGATCCCTGCCCCTCCATGTGCTTTGGGCACAGAAGGATACTTTGAGGTCTACTAAGTGGTCATCACCTATGAACTTGAACATAGTATTGAGGGTCCATTTGACTAAGCCCTCTAAAGATACCATTCAAAGATGCTGAGAGAATGTTATAAATCGTTTGGATAATTATGACTACATAAATCTGACTCAGAGAGGCATTCATTTACATATGTTGCTCTAATTACTGTTTACGTTCATAAATACAACGGAGTGACCTTAAACTTTTAATTTAATTTTTTAAAAAGGAATTGTTGACAGTGGTGGTTAAAAAACAGGTACCATATTCCATGCTTTTGCACCAAGCGTTTGACACATTGTCTATTTTTTTTAAATACATGTAGACTATGAACCATATTCTAATTTTTCAAATGATATGTTGTGGAAAATATTCCTTGAAGGTGTGAGACTTAATTTTTTTTTCTTTCAATACTGTTTTTACTCTTGTGTTTCTTATTTGATTTTTTGGATTAACACAAAGTGATAATTCATAATACTAGCCAAAATTGTCTTCTTTTTCAAACCAGACCCATATATATGTATATATGGGGACTGGTGCTTCTCTGAGGAAATGCATAATCTGCGAATACTCAGACAAAATGGGCAACTGGCAGTGCTCATAACATTCCAATTTTTATTGGAATTTTTCATGGAATGTTATTACATTAAAGCCATGTAGGGTGAAGCTTTGATAGTTTTTTACTCTTCAAGTTATGGTAAATTCCAATCTAATATTAAAATCATTTTTGTACTCCCACATAAAAAATGCTAAATTAGGATGCAGTCATTTAGAAAAGTATTGACTGGAGGAGTTGAATTCCTTAAGAATTTCTTTTATAGTCTAAATCACAAATGCTTTACTCAATTGACTTAAGTTTTTAAGATAGCTGAATATTTTTATTGTAAACCTACCGGAGTCAATTCTTCGCTTGGATTTTTTTTTTCTATTTTTCCTTACTATAAGTAATTTAAAAACAGAATTAGTTTTCTTAGATGACTTAAGTCTGGATCTTGAAAAACAAAAAATACTCTTATTTCCAGTGTCTATAGTACCTGAAATAGGTGTTCATTTAGGCAGAAACAAGTTATGTTGAAGTTAACTTTCTTTGTCACAGTTTTGGTCAATAAAAATCTAAAAGTATTAGCACTTGAGGATTTAGATTTTCTACTGGGGCCTTTGAAACTTAGAAGAAATTCAACCTGAATATCTACATTAGAGTAAAATCGTGTGTGGTAGGAGGATGGACTAGTTAACCAAGAATTCTTGTCACTTATATATCTTGTGACTTTTTTTCAAGCCATTTTTAAAAATTCTAAATGTTTTGAGGTATGTGGACATTAATCGTAATGTAAACTATTATGCAACTGTCTTTGTGACTAGATAGGCAGATAAATTTTTCTGTTACTATTGAATATAAATGATGTTTGAGGTATGTGGACATTAATCGTAATGTAAACTATTATACAACTGTCTTTGTGACTAGATAGGCAGATAAATTTTTCTGTTACTATTGAATATAAATGATGACCATTCATCTGTGACCACTCAGACAGCATTAGTAATCATTTAATGACAAAGGATTAAAACATCCATCATGGATATTAATTTTGAAGATGTTAATTATGTTTAAATTTTTCCAGGCATCTGAAAAATTATCTGCTAAACAATGGAAGATTCCCACAGAGCTGTCTGGGATTCTGAAATTGTTAAATATGCTATATGACAAGTAGTACCTTTCATTGAGCCATTTTCTCAAAATATAAGGAGAGAGATAAAAATTATTATATCAAACTTTTCTAATTAAACAGCCAAGAAAGAAAAAAAAAAAACACTCTCTACTTTAGAAAAGACATTGATGAAGTCTTTTCAGACGTGCCCAAACTTTGAGAATTTGTCCAACGATCTAAATGCTCTAGAGATTTTTGTTCTCCCTGTTCACAACCAGTTGTATAACAGAGTCATTCAGTACTGTTTTCCTCCCTGTATGTGAAGTAACGAATCATTGATTATGTGACTTGTTATGTATTCTATTAAACACTAAAGAATAAAACATTC